CGCTTCTCTTGCAGGCGCTCTTACCACCATTGCCTTTTTTATCGCCCCCCTTACCGCTCCTCTTGCAGCCGCTCTGACCACCATTGCCTTTGTTACCGCCCCCCTCCAACACCTCACCGCTACCGCTGCTCATACACCCCCCTGGGTAGGGGCGGCCGAGGCAGGGCCCCTCGAGCAACCGGAACAGGTTGATGAGGAACATCAGGGCCAAGAGCCTGAGGAAGATAGGCGTGTGACGTACGCGGTAAAGGTCTGCCGGAAGAAAAATATCCTCATTCCTTTCCAATCCAGCTAAAAAATAAAAACACATTTGTTCATTCACAAAATGGTGCAGAAGAATATTCCCCCTCTTCATCTTATAATGCTCATTTACAAAACTCCTTTTTAAATCCACTAAGACGAACTCCTTGCAAATTAAAATATCAACTATCACCTGAACAAGCTTATTCAAATACTCGCTGCTCACTTTCAGCATGTCTTCATTTTGAATAAGAGAAAAAAAGAATGACGAGAGAAAAGGGATCACAGCACTTCTTACTACAGACAGCTTCGTCTGTCCGTACTCCATAATTCTTTGTACATAATTCAGGATAAGAAAGGGGCGCCCTTCATCTGTGTGATCAGCAACCCACTTGTCATTCTTATCGGCGGGGCTTCTACATTTCACCTCATCATCTTCACTGTTACCTTCCGTGTTACTTCCCCTTGATGGTCCTTTGCCACGCCTCCCCCCTCCAGTCACCTCCACATGCAAACCCATGTCATGCTTCACAATGAGAGGGTGGAACAGCGTGATGAAGAGCAGCTCCAGGATGCGAGAAGGGTACTTGCACGCGCAGCATCGGTCAATCAGGATATCGCTTTGCTTTAATAGAAGCGTCAGGATGTATGTCCTTTCGTCCGCCCCTAAAGGGGAGGCACCCCCAACAAGGTCGCCACTAAAAGTGCCATCACCAAACACCGCGGGGATGACGAACCGCCTGATGATCATATACACATACACGAGTTCCCCTTTGCACAGCTCAATGTCACTAATAACTTTTTCCGCGAAGGGGAGGATGTCCCCCCCGAAGATGGAGCCTCTGTCCCCTGATCCCCCCATACACATGCTCTTATAAGCATATTTGTACTTGTAATAATTGAACACTTCACAGTGCTTATCCCCGTAGCGCCTTGTCCTTCCTTCCTTGTTCCTTTCCTTCCCTTTACTCTTCCCTTCTGTTGAAACTGCGCAACTCGTTTGGCTCACCTGCAAATGGATGATCATCTCATTGGGGACTGCTTCCAGTGGGGGTGAAAACAAGGCACAGGTGCTAGATAAAAACGCAACAGCTAAAATGATTTTCGTAACATCTTCCTGTCTTCCCCCCTTTTGAACAAAATTAACAATGTACTTGACACACTGGTCATGTAGTGCCTTTGCCTGGAGGTGGAAGCGACCATTTGCCTTCACCAACTTGTGATCACTCGGGAGGGGAAAGAAGTATTCCTTCATAGTTTCACTGTGTAATTTGTTAAGTGAAGATACTCCCCCCTGCTCCATTTCAACATCACCCTCTCGATGGTAATAATGAAAAGACGCGTTCATGTTGTTTGGCAGGATATACTCGAGGGCATCTACAAAGGGGAGGAGCTCCTTCAGGGGGATCTCCCCTTCCTGGTCATTCTCATACGAATCTCCATTCTGCTCTACAGCCACTTCACAAGCCGAGTCAACTCCCTCATCTAAGAAGTACCTTTCAATCTTCAAAAGAAGCCCCGTCATTACATTTTCCATACTACCTTCATCAAACACGTGGCTTACCCCATACTTGAGGACATAAAAAAGGAACCGATTCACTAGTTCGTGTATCTGTTCTCCACCACGACATAGGAGAAGGAGTAAGCTACCACTCTTCACATCATTATGCATCACCAACAAAATAAAAAAACGCACGTAACCCGCAAAGTACACATGCTCATTGGACAAAAGGACGTGGTTGAAGTGGTTAAGAAAATGAGTTAAGAAAATATCACTGGTTGAATTCTTAATCGAAATGAAACTTCCTCCTCCCGCTTGAGAATTGTTTCCCCCACTTGATGCCGCCATGCAATTCATATTTAACTTGAGCAAAGAGTAAAAGACTTTCATGTGTCTGCAAAAAAACTCATCCCCGAACGAGTCCAAAAAGATACAGTAATCTTTAACCCTCCTGAATATATTTACGTGGTGATTTATTTTAACCGTGGTCTCTAACAGCAGTGTCAGGGTATCACTTCTTCTGCTTACCGGGATGCTCTTCACATTTTTCACAATGCCCACGAGCACCTCGTGCAGGTCGTCCATCATGCCACACTTCGAGCCGCCCATCGAGTCTGCCTGACCGCGGGTGGCACCCCCCAGCAGACGCAGCGCCTCGAGCAGCCCCTCCAACACAACGCGAATATTAATGTGAAAAAACCTCACCCCATGCAGGCCAAGCAAAAAATACTTAACCATTAACAGGGGAGTCCCCTTCAACACTTTTATCACTATCAGGTTCTTCAAACGGAACTCATAAAATGGAATGTCTCCCCTGATGAACAGAGTTGGCCTTATGCACTCGTTAAAGAAAATGTGGAAGAGGAACGTGTCGCTCATGCAGTTGAGCAGCGTCTCCACGTCGAGTGACCCATCCGGTGGAGTAGCGGCCCCTCCTGCGGCAGTTCCTCCGACGGTTCCTCCAGCACTTCTTCCAACATGGGTAACCTCCCCTGCCGCTTCTCTACCCACCGTGCACCCCATGTCGCCTCGACTCACCAACTGGCAAAGGGCAAATCGAGTCACCGTCCCGTTGCTATGACGAAGAAGCAGCCAAATGAGCAGCTCCGCCTGACGCAGAATTAAAAAATCCCACACCTTCAAAAACCTCATTTCTCCCTTCCCTACGTCGCTCCCTGCACAGCACTGGAAAATGAACAAGTCCATATCGTCAAACGGGGCGGGTGTGTCACCTGTGCTGCTACTCCAAGTGGCCCCTTCACCTGCAGACACACTGGGGTGAATACTCTCATGGTTTCCACGCCATTCGTCTGGCACCCCTGGCGACCCCCCTGATGGCGCCTTCGCCAACCGCCTGTCTTCCTTCCGCTTCGCCTCGTACTTCCTCCTAATCGCACTGACCACGCGCAACAGGATAACCATCTTGTGCCAATTCGCTTTTAACAAATGAACAGAAAAGTTTTGCATGCACCTTAAGATGCACGTGTAGAGTTCCCAGGCTTCACTAAATTGCTTCCCCCCTCGTTCCTTCCTTTCAGCCACTCCCTCTACCCCACTTACGAGGCCATCAAACAGGTATATCACCTTCTTCACAATCTCTTCACTCATGTATGCTCTATTATGGAGCAGCAAGAAAAAACGCACGTCGTTCAAGTTGGCCTTCATTAAAAAATTCTCATCATACAGGTAGTCCATGTAAAGCACTTGGTAAGTGTACATATCGTTTAACAGATCTGAAGCGGTCTCTCTCCATTCTTTCGCGTAACAATTTGTGTTATAAGCGAGGTAGGTCTTGAGCAGCGGCGTGGCTTCGCTACAAGTCGCCTCGGTGCCTTCCTCCAATCCGTCCAGCTCCAAACCAAGGCCGTTACTCACACAAAAGAACATCCGCTGAGTCACCTCGAGACATACTTGCTCCATCTCGCACCTACTGAACAGGTACTCCTTGGCCGTATTGCAAAAATCCTTTATTATCACATCGCGCATCGGGGCGTTGCTCACAAATGGGAGCAGATGCAAAATGTCTCTCGCCATGTACTTCACTTTGGCCAGACCCCATATGGCAGTTCCTTCGGAGGGTTCTCCCTTTTCGCCGCTCTCGCCCTGTCCTCTCTTCTTGGCGTGCGCGGGGTGCCTGGTGCGTTCCACATCTGCGCTCCCCTCCGTGACCTTCCTCCCCACCTTCTCCACCACCAAAGCGAACAAATGACACAAAGCCCTGAAATGAAATTCCTCACTGCTCAGGAGCTCATCATAGGGGAGCCCCCCCACACTCGGCGCCTTCTCCGGTGCATCCCCCTCGTCTGCCTCCCCAAACCCGCTCGCAAAATTGCCAGCCAAATTATGAGCGAACCCACTACGAGACCGAAACCACCGTTGCACCTTTATATAAAAAAGGAAAACTTCTTTGTTCTCTCTAACGTCTGTCTCGACCCTTCCCCTTATGCACCTTAGTAAAAGCAGCAGAAGATGCAGGGTGCCGTCCGTGTCCCCTGGTTCGTCCCTCGCTTCAAAAGTTAAGACAAGCACATCTGTTAAAAATTTAAATAAAATCGGGTTCTTGAACCCGTTTGATTTGATCAACTGGATTATCCAACTGGTGTCAATGTGGAGGAACTCTTTGCTGAAATATTTTTCATACAGCGAATTTAAAAAAAGAATTAAAAATTTCATTTCCTCAAATGTTTTGTCGTCCATTCGTTTCTCTGCTTCTATTTGGCTAGCTATGTGTTTGCTTATTCCCATGGCCAATTCCTTCTTATCAACATTAGCCATGAAAAACTCAGTCATGTCACAAAAGAACCGGTTCAGGCTGTCCTCCCGTCGTTCTACTTTCCCCATTCCCCTACGACAGAAACTTAGTAGAGCGCTTAAAGCGTCTGATGTGTCGCGTTCCTGGTTAGCCATGTTGACCGGGGCGGCAGAACAAGAAGAGGTGGGCGCGAAGAGGAAGAAGTGCGGGTGAAAAATTGCGAGAAAGCTTTGGGTCAAACTGCAAATCGTGGTTAAGCGTAAGGACGCCCTCTTTTCAATTTGTGCTTCGTGAGAATGATCCTTCCACGAGGCCACAATCCTATCTCCCGCTCCACCGCTTTTTAATGCCTCTTCCCCTGGGTAGCCCTCACCAAAAGTGCGGCGACGAGAAACTAATTTGGGCCTAATGGGGCCACTTCATCACTCGACAAAGAAGCTATAATAAAGTGGGCTACCGTTCAAATGTTACTTGAACCCATTGTGGGAAAAAAACCCTTCACTCTACCCTCCACGTCAAATGGTAGGAATATGAAACGAATTTGGCACATTGGAAAATCGAATAAACTTTGTAACTTTTTTTTTTTTTTTTTTTTTTTTTTTCTATTGTAATATCTACCCCCCCTTTTTTTTTTTTTTTTTTTTTGGCGAAACATCATGGACCCATTTGGGGGGAAAATGCTCAGAGGGATTCTCCTGTTCTTCTCTCTGTTGGCAATTCGGGGAGGTCCGAGAGGAGGGGCAGCTCACCACACATATGTGTGTATTCACGCGAGCATGCATTTGTGTTCTGTGCGTAGGTGTTCTATGCGGTCGTGTTAATGAGTACGTGTTAATGCGAGGGGGGGAGGAGGCCCTCGCCCACTACACGCGCACCCCAGTGTACCCCATTGAGCATAAAAAGAAACTCACCCATATCTGCCTCAGGTGTTTCACAAGATGCAAGGACCTGCCGCAAAGACTACTCGTATGGGAGTTGCCTCCACCAACCCTAAGCACGCACTGGGGGAAGACGTGTGTCTGCCCCTTGTGATGTGTATCCTCCACACAATGAAGAAGGAAGGAGGTGGACATGCCTACGCACGTGTATATATTTATGTCAATTATTATATATATATTTTTTTTTTTTTTTGGAAAATCGAATAAACTTTGTAACACTTTTTTTTTTTTTTTTTTTACGACCTGTTGCAAGCTTTTTTTTTTTCTCTTCAAGGGGGTAAAAATAACATGCTGTGCGAGAATCACTTATATAAAGTCGTCCTTTTGTGGGGACTTTTTTTTATTCGAGTGGACTCATGGGGTGGTCCTCACCGTATCGTCCTCGTCAGGAGGAAGGACAGCCAGACTGGTCGGTCTCCAATCTCATAGTGGATAATTTTTCTGTGGGGGAAAATTTCTCCTCAACAGAATTAACAATGTGTTATGCGCTTCTTCAGGTGTTGGGGGAAAGCACGTTGCTCTCACTTTATTAAATCGGTGTACGTACACAAAGGTGTGTTTACCGCGTGGCGATGGGGGTAGCCCCAGCCTCCTTCGCACAGTTCCGCGAGAAAAACGACAAACATGTGACACGCATTCATCAACCAGGGTACTACCACAACGCGGTTACCACTCTGCAGCGTGCCTTTCCCCGTTTCGTCTTCTTGTGGCTTCCCCCTTTTTTTTTTTTTTTTTTTTTTTTTTGTCCCTAATTTTAGTTGTTTCTGAATGGAGAAAAGTTGCTAGCCATTCCGCAATTGCCAGAGAGTGAATTTTCCACGGCATTCACATAACCTGTTTAGGTGCCACATGCATGTGATGTTATGTGCATGTATGTATACTTGTTCTATCCGGCAGGGGAGTCAACGGTGCGAGGAGCGTCCACTGAGTGAGCAACCTCCATTTTGCAACACGTCTTTCCCGGTGTTTTTGTCACCCGTCCTTTATCTCGTATACATAACACTTTTTTTTTTTTTTTTTT